TGAATTCCTGCACAAACTCTCCCTCTGTATGAGGCTTCAGGTTCTTGCTGTTATTTCACTAATCAAGAAAGCACTGGTCTTGTACGCTCTGACTTTTGCTCGTCCAAACTCCAACAAAGCACAGCTTTTATTGATCTGCATCATTCCTTTTATGCTGCTCTGGTTTAGTATGCTTAATCGCCTTCAGTACCTCACTACTTACTAAAACATACAAGTCTGCCTTTCACTTTTACAAAAGCTAGTATCGCTCGTTCGGTTCTCTTGAAATATGTGGCATTCGGCATCCACTTTTTTTGTAGTCACCATGATAGATGCCTGTCAGTCACCCTGTCTTTTCTCGCACTCATGGTTGAGCACAAGTGTTGCGTTTACTGACCCTTGGTTATATGCATTATTGTCAGCTTTATCACAGAAATGCCATTGTTTGTCGCTATTTTTACCCTCCTTGTCCTTTTGGGTCAATATATTGTGGGTTATTGTGACCCAGTGGCAGCAGGGGTGATCTTTTTTTTTTAATTTGAGATTGTGTGTCAGGCTAAGTAAAAGCATTTTGAGGTCTAGTTGTATGTGGCTTCTGGGCCACATACAGTCAGTGTTAGAGCATATTGAATGTCAATGAGTGGTAGCAGCTGAGTGAATAGATGTGATCTTACTCTTTTTTAAAAAACAAAATTATCATGAATCATAAAAAAGTTATACCAGGATACTATCTTTTAGACTATTGTCTTTTTTTGGCAAATCACAAGTAGTGAAATGGACTGTACTTATATAGTGCCTTTCCATCTAACCTGCATACTCAGTGCTTCACGCTACAATCTGTGCCGTGAGTTGCCCATTCTCACAGCGCTCTACTAGGTCTCTTTAAAAAGCCAGACAGATCATTCTATGGAGACTAGTCAGTGGTTTAAACCATATTCATACACTGATGGTACACGCATCAGAGGTAGTGTCTTTCCCAGGGACGCTTTAACATGCAATTAAATAGTGGGAGAATTTAACCGCCAACTCTTGTTTGGAGGTTGACTACCCTAATCACTCAGCCACACCCACCTCAGGTATTCATATTACTGTTTACAAAAAATGAAAATTATCTGAATTTGTGATCAAGGGATCTTTTTTCATCTATCATGCAATTCAAATGTTTTTTTTTTACAATTTTGGATTCAAATTCTTGTGTTCTGTAAATATGCATTTGAGCTTCAGATGAGAATGTGAGAAGTTGCTACAGCATATTTTCATTCTCTTGTACGTGTTTGGTGGTGTGTTTGTTTCTGAGTGTTTGTGTGGCACCAACTGTCCTTCACTCTGCTCATTTCTGTGCTTATCAGAGGCAGTGTGAGATTGAGGGCCATCACTAACACTGTTGCCATAGTGAAGGCAGACGGAGGGCAGCTTGAGTGACAGCTGATCCCAGCACACACACACACACACACACACACACACACACAC